GCAGCTCCCAGAGCTGAGCAGGGTGGGAACTGGGAGCCAAGTGCTGTGGGGTCAGGGGCTGGGGCTGGGGCTGGCACAGTGTCCTGGGTCACCAAGGCCTCGTTTGGGCACAGGGCACAGTTAAAGAACAAAAGCAAATAAACTCAGTTTCTGTAAGCAGAGTTGGTGGAGGTACCGTGAGGGCAGAGGCTGCCCTTAGTAACTGCCCTTGTTCCTGAGGGGTTGGTTTAATGTTTCCTGAGCTTTTGTACGCTTGGAGGGGAGGAAGAGGCCTCTGCCCTGCAGTGGGGAATCCTGACTGCCCTGTGGCACCTTCCACCCGGGGCTGCGTGGGGAGGGATCGTGACCTTTTAAAAGGACAGCTGAAGGGTCCCTGTGCCACCCTCCTCCTCTCCAGAGGGCGTGGCTGTGGTTGAGCACCCGGGGAATGGTTTTGGGATAAGTGTTCCCACGCAGATACATGGAGCTGAAAAAGCTGGAGACTCCAAAGCTCTGGAGCAGTGTGGGGTCCTCTGGCACACCTGGTCTTCTGGGGGGGCTCAGTGTGTCATCTTTAGGGTTGGGGTAAAGGAAGGCACTTCTTAGTCCCTGTCCCAGTGCTTGGGAAGAGCCGGAGTTTCCTCCCTGGGGATAAATCGAACAGATCTGCTCTGTCCGAGGGCCTGTGCCTGTTTGCTCCTCCTGGGCTTGGGTGCATCATCCACACCCCAGCAGGGCCCCGAGCTGGCAGTGGGGTCCCTGCCCTGGGGTGATGGCCACTGATGCAAAGCAAACGGGACGGTCTGTGGGAGGCTCCACCTGTCCTGTGGCTCCTGGGCACTGTGGAGGGGTCTCCTTCAAACCCCCCCAGCCTGAGCCAGAGCTGTGAGCTGCCTCACCACGAGAGCATCGGGCAGGACGGGGGCTGTGCAGGCCCTGCCACAGCTCATCCCTGCAGTGCTGCTCCTGCACCCACTCCGGGCTTGCCCAGACCAGATCCAAACCAATTCCGTAGCGCCCGCTGTGCTGGGAAGGAGGGAAAAACCATCTCCTGGGCCAAAACCAAGGGTTTTCATGTGTTTTTGTGTGTTTCTTGGGTTTGGTTTTCTCGTCGTTACCACCCAGTTGAGCTGTTGGGGGTTTTTTGGGGTGACCCCGTGCTGGGAGGATGGAGGTCTGTGGTGGCTGAGGCTGGCTGGGCTGTCCCCACACCAGGGTGGACGTGGCCACTTGGTGCTTGTTGGGCTTCTGCTCCGTGGTTTCATGGGCTGTTCAGAGCAGCCCATCCCTCTGCTCCCATCCTTGCTGGGCTCGAGGCCCCTGCAGTGCCTCGGGTTTTCTTTTGCATCTTCAGTTTGGGGTTCTTGTGGGTGTTTTCCCAGCGGGGGCGGGGACAGGGCGGGCCGGCACAGGGGCCTTGTCGCCGGCAGCGAGGGGACTGTTGGTTCGAGGCAAGGGACAATCATCTCTCCTCAGCCCTCCTGGGGCACAGGGACCTGCGGGGCCAGGGGATTTTGCTCTCGCTGAGGGATGAGGGGGCACAGGGCCCAGCTGGGGCTCTTGGCATGTGACGGTGGTCGGAACACATTGACTGGCTTAATAAAGTACCAGATGTTTGTACCTCGTGTCCTGTGCTCCTTCCCACACCCTCCTGCCTTTCCTGCACTGCCCCAGGAGCTGCCACAGGAGCACCTCCAGCCCCAGCAGAAGAACCCTCTGTGGCTCACCGGGCGCCTTCGCAGCTCGGTTTTAACAGGGGAGGGGGGAAGTGTAAATTTTTTTAAAATATGTAACTTTTTGGTGTCCATTCCAGGCACCGGGCACAGGGTGGGCTGTGTCCCACCGCACACAGGTGACAGGGGAAGCTGGAAGATGTTTTGAAGGGGGGAAATGAATCGGTGTTCCCTTCCCTGCATTCATTGTGACTCACCAGCAGAGCTCCCTGATTTGCTCTGCTGGGGGGAAGCACCGAGCCAGGCACCAGCATAATTCCCTCTCCCTCTCCGGTTCTTTGGAGGAATTCCCTCTCCCTCTCCGGTTCTTTGGAGGCTGCCAGCGGCGGGAAGCTCAGAGAGGGGGGTTGTGAAAAGGCAAATCCGGCTTCAGTCCCCGGGGGGGGAAGGGGCTGTGGGTGAGACGTGCCCTGTGTCCCAACACCGCCCTGGCACAAAGGGACTGTCACTGCCGGCTCCGACCCCTCCAGCGGGGCTGGGAACACCCCTTCAGGCTCGGGAGGGCCGTGCCAAGAGGCCACCGACGTTCCTGGCCCTGCATAGGCTGTGGATGGGCTGCCGACCCCATAACAAACCCTGAGCCTCCATCATCGGTCCCTGCGGGCGGCGGGGGTACCATGGACGGGAGTTTGTCCCATGCCCTTTGCGTGGGAATGGACTGAAATTGAAACAGGAGAAGGCCACAACACCGGGGCTGGGACTCCTGGTCCTGCTCAAGCTGAGTGCTCAGGGACCCCCAGGAGCTGCCATCTCTCCAGCCCCATTCACAGCCCATTCCCCTCCCTCTCTGTGCCCCTTCTTCCCCCTTCCTCTGACAAGACGTGTCGTTCCCCCGCCCTGAACCCCGCCTGGGTTTGCTGTGCTTATGCAGGTTATTTTGGAGGGGCTGTTCAGCACCAGGCTCTGCATCCTGGTGTGGAGACCCCAAACCCTCTCACAGGGCTCCTGCCAACACCACTGGGGACCCGCAGCTTCCCCTTGGCCGGGGCTGCTGGAGCAGCAGAGACCTGGTGTGACTGGCTGTGGAGTCCGGCCAGGCACAGGGGTGGATTCGAGCTGCTCGTGCTGTGCCCAGCACCCAACACAAGCCCTCCGGGGGTCAATAAATCCCCAAGGAAGGGGACTTGGAAAGCACTGATCCCGCTCAGCTCGGCCCTCCGCCCCCCGAGCGGCTCCGTCCAGCTGCGGAGCGGAGCCTCTGCTGGCATCGCCCCCATGGGCTGAGCCAGAGCCGCCGCCAGCCCTCCTGCTGCTGCCAGGCCGGCTTTGTTTCCCCAGACTTTTGATTTTTCCACCTCTCCCCTCCCAGATCTCCTCTGGTGGGACCCAGCGGTGTGAGCTGCTGGGTGTTTATGAGGGTCCCTGCAGGCTCTGTCTCCTGCCCCGGCCCTCCCAGTTCGGTGGCAATTTAGGATCCGCTGCCCGGAGCCGCCTTGCAAAGGCCCCTCCAGCGGTGGAGGCTCCCGCGCCCCACCCAAGCCCCGCAGCACCCAGGGGTAACCCCCACCCTGCCCGCGGAGGGGTCCTGTCTCCAGGGTATCTGAGCGGGCTCGTCCCTGCCGTGCTGGCCTGGCCCTAATGCTGCGTCTGCCCGGGACATCCCCAGGGCTGGGGGGGCTCCTCGGGGACGAGGCAGGATCTGGCTCTTCCCTGCCGCCCACCCTACAGCCGCCAGCACCCCCCTCCCCAGGGCCCCACCATGCTCCCCCTGTCCTGGGCATTGGGGTCTTGATCCTGCCCAGCCTGCGGTTCTCTGAAAGAGTCAGAGAGTGGACCCTGCTGGGCACAACCCCCGCAGAAAACCGGGAGCCTTCCAGGGCGTGTCCGTCCTGTCCCTGCAGCCCCTCCCACCCCAAGCGCCGCTGCCCCGGGGAGATGCCGATAAAGCTGCCTCAGATCTTCGGGGTCCACAAGGTGTGGCTGGGGGAAGGGGGGGCTCTGCAGCCGAGGTTCTTTCCCCAGTTCCCTCATTCGAGGTGGGGAATCAGCTGGACTCCCCACCCAGCCTTGCTGCAGCTGGGAGATGCTCCCAGCCCCCCCTTGCCTCGGTTTCCCCACCCACCATAACCCCACAGCAGATCTTGGGTTACCCCACCTGTAGGTGGGGACGGAGACAAGAATGGGGATGGAGACGGGAACAGGGATCAGGAGAGGGAACTGTGACAGAGCTTAGCCCCAAAACCTGTTCTGCCCTCCCAGGTATTTCGTGTGGCACTTCCTGGTGCTCTCACCCTTGCTGGAGCTGTGCCAGGAGCCCCACCCCTGGGCCCTGCTCATCTACCTGCTGCTCTGCCTCTACCCCTTCCCCTCCAGCTGCACCCACACCTTCAGCTCCACGGCAGCACCCGCCACATCTGCTGCTTCTGCAGCTGTAGAGCCCTCAGCCCCTCCAGCCTGGGGGAGCTCCGTGGAGAGGGGTGGCACAGGGGTGTGGATGGGGCAGGGCGCTGCAGGCCCCTCGTGTTTGCCTACAGAGCCTCCCACGATGATGAACCACTGAGTCAGCAGCGTCTGCCAACGATACTTTGTCCCCACGGCCGCTTTGAACTCCTTTGTCTGCACCGGCCTCTTCTGCTGCTCCCGGTATGTTCGGGGTAAGGAAACTGGGGCTGGAGGTTTCCTCCTCCTCAGCTGTGGGGTCCTCTTGGCGATTGCCCTTTGCTTAGGCCCAAAGCCAAGGTGCCATACCCCGGGAACGTGTCTGTGTCCGTCTGTGTGTCTGTGTGTCTGTGTGTCCATGTCCTGCTGCAGCACGGCCACTGCTCGGTGTCAGCCTCAGGGGCACGGGGCTGGAGGCAGAGCTGAGGGTGCCAGGGTTAATGAGGAATTAGGGTGGTTTGTGACAGAAGCCCCGTAGCTGGGCAGGGTGCAGGGTGCACAGAGAAGCCCTGCTGCCCCCCATAACCTCACTCTTGGGAGAAGCAGCTTTAAAATAAACCAGAATAATGGTGGTGCAGCACTGGGCTCCTCATGGCCAGGGACACGATCCAGGGGTGGTGGCATCGCTCCACCCCGGAGCCTGGGAGGGGACAGGGAGGGAGGCCAGAGGTCCTCAGCCGTGTGAGGTGGGGGGACATGGGGCACGTCCGCTGCAGCCTCCCACCCACCCCCCAACCCGGGAAGGAACCGGCTCCACGATATGCATTTATTTCTTTCCGGTGCTAACAGAAAGGGTGTAAAGCGGGGTGTAAGGGGTGCTCAGAGCTCAGCCCCTGCCCCGCAGCGCTGCCGAGGGGTGGCGGGGGTTACACGAAGCCGTAGTAGCGCCGATACGCCTCCTGCAAGCCCACCTGGTCGGCCAACTCGTCACAGTCGGGGTTGAGCTCGCACACCTCGCGCTTCGCCTCCAGCGGGTCCGGCGGGGCCGCATAGACACTGCTGGGGACAGACGGGGGACTCTGGGGACTGTTGGGGGGTCCCGTGGGGGCTGGAGGCTCCCAGAGAGGGGCCGAGCCAGCGGGGACCCCCTGGGTGTCACCCGGGGCTGTGAGCCCCGGCCCAGGACCGAGCACTACCTGCCATAGCCGTAATTCCGCTTCTGCCTCTGCACCACCTGGGCACTGGCGCGTCTGGAGATGAAAGCTGAGGGGACAGCGCGGTGGGTCAGGGGGGTTGTGCCCCCCCCCGTCCCCGGGACAGCGGGGGCGGGCATGGTCGTGGTCACTCACCTTCAGAGCTGGGAGAGTCGTCGGCGCTGGTGGAGCGATCGGCAGCTGGGGGTGACAAGGAGCAGTGGGTGGGCTCGGGAAGGTCCCGTGCGGGCTCTGGCCTTTACCTCGCTCCTCCTTTGGAGGCTCAGACCCCTCACTGAGACCCCCCCTCCCGACCTGTCAAAGGGCATCCTGCTCCCCATCTCCCCTCTCCAGCCCCACTTCCCCCAGTGCCCCGGGGCTCAGCAAATCTCTCCCGGTCCCTTTGCTCTCCCTCCAGAGCCCTTCCCCGGGGCACGGCCACCCCCAGCCCCATCATCCCGGACACGGGGGTACCTCTGCGGCAGAGGCCGAGGGCGAGCAGGGCCAGCAGGGTCAGCAGCACGAGGGGCTTCATGGTGGCTCCCTGTGCCGGGCTCGGTGCAGCCCCCGCTCCCCGGGTGGATTTATAGGGCGCTGCAGCCCCGGCCGGGGGAGGCCACGGCCCCACCAGGGTTATTTCCAGCACATCCGCCGCGGCCGGAGCTGCCGGAACAGACGGCAATTGTGGTTTGGGATGAACTTGGTCCCCCCGTGCCTGGCCAGAGCCCACAAAGGGAGGGAAACGCGGCCCCAGGCCAAGGGGGATTTGCTGGTGGGCCCAGCCCTGCTGGCCTGGCAGCACCATCCCCCCTGGGACAGGCCATGGGGCACTGGGAGGCTCCCAGTCTCCCACTCCCCTGTCCCACTTCCCACTGCTGGATCCCAGCAGGCTGTTGGGATCAGCACCAGTACGCTTCCCTGACAAAACCTGTGGGGTTTTCCTCCCTGTGCAGGGCCAGTGGGGTCATGCTGGCCCATTTTTTGGGGACTAGCATGTGCTCCTCTTCTGGCAGTGTTGTGCTGTGTCCCAGGAGGGTGAGCAGGCAGGTGCCTGTGCCCTCAACCTCAAATAGCTCCCCAGTGCCACATCCTACAGGCTGCACGGCCAGAGCAGTAGCTGGTCCCAAAAGCAGGACCTGAGAGAGGTCCAGCATCTCTAAAAACCCCCAAACAGGGCTTTTCCAGAACAAAATTAGTGACTCTGTCCCTGTGCAGGGGAGAGGGACAGCTGGACCAGCAGAACTTCTTGCATCTATCCATCCTTTCACGTGTTCCTCTCCCCCAGACTCCAGCTCTGGGTGCTCACCCACCCCCAGTTTGCTCCTGTTTAACTCCAGGAGGGCTCTGGGCCGTGGGAGCCCCTGGGGCCGCTGGGTGAGATCCCTCTTTGGGATCCTGACCGCTTCCAGATCCTATAAATCCCAACCCGGTCTTGAAAAGCGGAACCGGAGGCTTTGGGGTGGAGGAGGAGGAGGAGAGAAATGCTGACCCCAGAGCCTTCGTCAGGCAAACCCATAAAGTACAGAGTAAGTGGGCCAAGTGAGCCAAGCCACGAACAACAGCCCCAATTTATTCGGATTGCAGGAAGGGGAGGCCGAGGGGGAGCTGCAGCAGCCGCTCCCTCCGGGCTCTAATTGCAGAGGCCAGGGCGTGGTGCGAGCGGTTTGTCCCAGGGCACGGCCTCTCCCTGGGGCTGTCCCAGACAGGTGACCTGGAACCTGCTGCCCCCTCTGTCCTCGGGGGACTCTCCTCATTCCCTGCCCAGCCTCAGGGGATGATCTTTGCTGAAGACACTTTGTTCCTCGTGGGGCTCCACCAGGCAGATCCCTCCAGGGAGCCCTCGCTTTCCCAGCCAGGCAAACTTCCAACGAGGCCGTAGCAGACAGCTCCGGCTGGGGAAAATCACTCTGGTGGCAGGAGGTTCCACAGGGAAACATTAAATCCCCTGTGCCACCAGCCCACGGAGCTGAGGCAGGGCTGCTCCAACCATCTCCAGATCCCTCGTGCTGCTGGGAGGGGAGCAGGGCTGGAGAATAACTCAGGAAAACAAAACAAACGGCGAGGAGGAGCTTGGAGGAGCAGCTGCTGCCACATCCAGGGGTGGTTTGAGCACACGGAGACCGAATGAACCCGCAAACAGGGGCAAGAGCATCGGCTGCCTCATGGGCTGTGGCGGCTGGAACCTGCCCTGGGCTGCTCATGCTCCTGGGCTCCTCAGGCCTGGCCATAGCCCAGCCTGGGCCACAAGGCACTGATTTTTGTCTAACGTGCACCTAAAATACCTCCAGGGCCTGAAATGTGGCTTTAGTAGCTGGCATCAGGGCTGTCACGGCAGGGAGGGACCAGGTGAGTGCACAGCCACACTCTGGGACTCTCCTCCTTGTTGAGCAGAGTGGGGAATTGGGAATTGCCATCTGTTTCCAAAGATCCCAATGTATTCGTTTTTTGTTTCTTTACCAAATCTGATCAGACTGTGCCAGTCTGGCAGCTCTTCCAGTCCCAGGGTGGTGGCCTGACGGGGCAGTTCTGAGCTGGGGGTGCTGAGCACACCCCACCTGGGGGACTCCCCACGGCCTCACTGGGGCTCCTGGAATGTCATGAGGAGCTCTCGCTGCTCTTTACCAATTGCCTGGAAGGGAAACAACACACAGAGCTCAGCAGGATGCTGAGGATGCCATGCCCAGGGCTGAGTGTGTCACACACACTGCTGTCCCCTGCACACACAGAACACAAGCCCTCCCCTCTCCGGTGGGAACAGCCCACATCCCACCCAGCACAAAGGGAAAAGCCCCCAAGATGTTCAAAGAAAAGGCCCAGGCCTCCAGTTTCAGCAGGACTTGGCTGCTGGGAAGGCCCTGGAGGGTTTAAATGTCGTTCACCACCCGGGCACCATCGAGCCTCCTCCGGGCTGGTGCCATGAGGAGAAGGGTCTTATGTGTTTTTACCTGCCAGGCTTGTTTGCGAGCCTGGATGAGCTGCTGCAGCTCTGCAATCCTGTCCCTCCCCGCCAGCACGGACTTGGCCACCTTCCTGTTCTCCTCCTCCTTCTCCCTGAGCACCTTGCGCAGGTAGGAGCGGTGCTTCAGCAGGTAGGGCAGCAGGGCACTGCGGACATCCTCCTCCGGGATCCCGCTGGGGCGCCTGGGGACACACCGGCCCCTGGAGCAGCTGCAAGCAGCGATCCCACCCAGCAGAGCGTCCCCCACCCTGATCTGACCCACTGCCAGACCAGAGCAGCTCCTCAGCCCCTCCAGCACCGGGAGCCAAGGACAGCCCGAGTGGGAACCCCCTGGGAGGGAACCCAAGCCCAGCCAGGAGCAGAGGCCTGGAGCAGGCAGGATGGGATTCACCTGCCCAGCAGAAACACAAACCCCTGATGGTGCTGGTTCACAGCCCCAGCCCGTTGCCAGGGTGGCATCTGCAGCACCCACCAAGGCCCAGAGCAGCTCTGCTGTTGGGCAGGAGCTGAGCCCAAAACATCCCATCAGCCAGAACTGGGTTTTCCCCAGAGGCACTGACCTCCCTGTGCTGAGGAAGGGCACAGAGGTGGATCTCTGACCCAGAGAGGCACAGATTTAACTGATTTTTGGGTGTTTTAGGCACAGTGGTGTTGCTGCAGAGACACAGCAGGTTTCAGGCACTCCCTGCAGCACCCAAATGTCACCCAGGAGCCCCTGTAGGAACAGATCCCTCTGCTCCCCGCCCGTACCACGCCGGCTCCTCCCGGTCCTTCGCCTCCTCCACGATCTTGTCCAGTGAGTTAAAGAGCCCCTCCAGATTCCCTTCGTTTTTTACCTCCTGGATCTCCTCCTGCCAAGGAAGGACACGAGGGACATTCAGCAGGACCCAAACACAGGCACCACTTGTGAGCCCTCGCTGGGCATGGAACCAGGGAATGGTCTGGGTTGGAAGGAACCTGAAAGCCCACCCAGTTCCACCCCCTGCCATGGGCAGGGACACCTTCCACTAGCCCAGGTTGCTCCAATCCCTGTCCAACTGGCCTTGCACACTTCCAGGGATGGGGCAGCCACAGCTTCTCTGGGCAGCCTGTGCCAGGGCCTGCCCACCCTCACAGGGGAGGATTTCTTTCCAATATCCCATCTAACCCTGCCCTCTGGCAGTGGGAACCATTCCCCCTTGTCCTGGCAGTCCCAGCCCTTGTCCAAAGTCTCTCCAGCTTTGCCCTGGATGAAGGCTCTATCCTGGGAACCACCAGGGATTGAGTCTCCATCCCTGGAGGCGTTTAACAGACATGTGGATGTGGCACTTGGGGACATGGATGATGGCCCTGGCAGTTGAACCTAATGGTCTTCAGGCTCTTTTCCAACCTGAACGATTCCCCAGATCTTTCCGGGGAAGACAGAGAAGTTTAGGGAGCTGCCTCAGCTTTCTGCTTTTGCCATTCAAGAAACGCATTTGCTCCCTTTAAAACCAGAGCGTTCAGCGCTTCCTTCACGGGCAGTCTGAAGCCCCCCCGGGCCCGCTCCCCCCTTCACCTTGATGGACGACTGCAGCTGGGAGATGAACTGATCGTAGATGCTCCTGGTCAGCTGGGGCTGCAGCTTGTAGAAGCAGCGGTAGCAGCTGGCGAACCTCTGGTAGCTGCAAGAACGGGGGGGAGGGGGGTCAGGGTGGGGCCGAGCGTCAGAGGCAGTGTCGGGGCCGGAGTCCCGGCAGGCGCCTCCCGGCCCTCCGCCGCTCCCGCCTCACCTCCCGGCGGCCACCAGCTTCTCCAGGAACGTGTCCACCACGGTGGAGAAAACCTCTGCGCGGCCCGGGGCCGCGGGCACGGCGGGGCCGGCGCCGCCACCGCTCTCTCCCTCAGCCGCCTCAGCCGCTGCCCCGCCGCCATCGCCGCCCGCCGCCGCCATGGCCGCGCTCTCGCGCCGCCACCGCCCATTGGCTGCCGCCGCCGCGCCCGCCGCTCCCATTGGTCGGGGCGCGAGGCCCCGCCCCCTCCGGCTACCAGCGCGGGAAGGGGCGCGCGCCCGGGAGAGGTAGTGGGCGGGGCTTCTGGCCTGTGGGCGGGGGTTTCTGGCCTGTGGGCGGGGCCTCCCCATGCCCGGCCCGAGCGGCTCAAATACAAAACGTGTCAAAACCCCCCCTCATAAAAATCACAAAATCATAGAATCACTGAGGCTGGAAACGGCCTCTGAGATCATCGAGTCCAGTCTCTGACCTAACACCACCTTGTCAACGAGACCGTGGCACCGACATCCAGTCTGTTCCTAAACACCTCCAGGGACAGGGACTCCGCCACCTCCCCGGGCAGCCCATGCCAATGTCTGGCACTGTGCCCTCTCGTCCTGCTGCTGCTTGCCTGGGAGAAGAGACCGATCCCCACTCGGCTACAACCTCCTTCCAGCGTCGGGCCCTGAACCGAAGCAGCAAACTCCTCCTCTCTCTCCCAACACCCCTGGAAACACCCCCTTTCCCTGCCCCGGGTACTCGATCTGTTAATTTAAAACGATCAAGCCTGAAGAACTCAGCAGGAGAAGCAGCCAAGTTCAGCCTGGAGAGAGAGAGAGGGGAGGAAAAGTGACATTTCCCTTCGCAAGAGCCAACCAGAACCAACCCTGTGTCATCAGGGGGAGTGTGTAAACCGATGTTTCAGACACTGAAAAAGGCTCTGGCCTCTTTTTCCTCTGTGCAGCTGCTGTCACTGCTTTCTCAGGCAGGTCAGGTTCCTTCTAGTCCCACTCCAAAGGCAGAGGGCGAAACCCGAGCAAGCACAGCTGTGACCCAACATACAGCGGCAGAGCCTCCCGTGGCACAAGCACCCACACGCTTTCCAACTCAGACTCGGGTCTCAGAAGTTTATTAGTTGTCAAGATCTTTGCTGGTTACGAGAGAAACATTAAGCTCACGAGTGTCTCCCCACGCTGGTGCTGCTGCCCCTCCACACCACAGCCCAGGCCTGGCCCCGCTGCCCTCGGCAGGGGCTGTCATTGCTCCTGTTGACATCGCCGTTAGCCCCGCTGCGCTGTGAGCACTGCAGGACACAGAGGTGGGATGAAGAGGCCCTTGATGACTCACCCCAAGGCCCATCACAGTTAGAAATGAGTTCTGTCCTTCAGCAGAGAAGCCTCTCCCAACCTCAGCACTCGTTCCACCTCCAGCAGACACGGTGGCAAGTGCAGTCCCTGCCGGGCAGAACTGCGATGTCGGAGCAAGGGCAGAGCCACACCCAGCGAGTTCCCAGGGGAAGAGGCAGCCCAGAGGAGCCCAGCAGCAGCCACAGGTCAGCAGGATCGACACCTCGACCAGAATTCCTGGTCAGGGCAGCCAGAGGAATGGAGGTGGTGCGTGTCTGTGACCCAGAGGCGCATCCCTCACACTCGGGACAAGCACCACGCGTGGGCTGGCAGCGCGAGAGGCAAATCCCAACCACCCAGAGCAGCACAGTGCAGCCAAACAACCCCTTCCCTCCCCCTCCCCGAAGAGCAGCCTCTGGTTTTACCCCCCAGAAGCTTTCACCTGGTAAAATACACAGACCATAGCTCAGGATTCTGATCCAGCAAGTGTGCAAAGCATTGTCCTTGCCCTTCCCAAACAGGATGAGCAGGATTTAAACTCTCAAAGTATTAGCGAACCATCACTTCTTATTCAATATGAACATACCAGTCAGGTTTGAACTGGATCAAAAGCCAGCACAAGGTTTTTCCTTCCCCACCTTGCATCCAGTTGTAGCTCAAACCACATTCAGTTCTCATCCAGCTGCTGGTAGCACCACAATCGGACACTTCCAAACTGCATCTCTTTGTGCTTAAACTAACTAAAGGTGGGAAGTGGCCACAGCCACCCTGAACATGCAGGATTGACACATCGAACAAGGCCACAGGACAACCACTCAGTTCCCCAGAAATCAGAATAAACTTCCCTAAAATAAAATTAAAAAAAAAATAAAATTAAATATCAACAGATTAAAAACACGGGTTAGGTGTCAAAACCGCCATCAGCTAATTCCAAACAGCCAGCTCAGCTCCTGACTTGCCTTCGGCCAGCCCGCTGTTTGGAGGATGAGAGACAGGGAACATTTTCCAAGAACATACAAAACAAGTATGTACAGATCTATTCAAAACGCAGGAAATCAGGTCTGAAGCGGTTCCGGGTTACTCTCGTCTCACATCTTCTAGAAATAAATGTGGGGAATTGGAGAAATTCATTTGTCTGTTCTCTGCTTCCACCTTTCCACAGCACAACTGCCACCAGAGCAATCCCACCGGAGGACCCTGCTGCAAGCTGTCAGATTCCCCTCCTCAGAAGTTTGGCAAAGATTAAAATAATTTAAAGAGAATAAACTGGCTTTTTGCTCAGCCAGTAAGTCTTTAATTTAAAAAAAAAAAAAAAAAAAAAAAAAAAAAAAAAAAAAAAAAAAAAAAAAAAGGAATTAATAACCTGCCAGGATGTGTTCACACACACCTGGAATGGACCGTCCCAGGCAAACAGCGCTGCCAAAGGTCACAGTTTGATGGTTTTAATCAAAACCAGCAGCAGAGACTTGTGTGACGCTCAAACCTAAAGAGGTGAAGCGCAGTTGCTCCTGCGTCTGCCTTGTGCTGCGACACCAGCCAGAGACAAAGGCACAGCAGCTGCGTCTCCTCCTGGGCTCTCCCCCGTGACAGTCCGAGCTCAGGGGGTTCACAGGAAGGTTCTCTCCCACCAGCTGCCTCTACCAGTGCCTCGAGTCCACCAGCTCCGGGCGGAGGCTCAGCTTCTTCAGCGTCTCGTACCCCACCACGATGACGATGGTGGAAGGAGTGGCCGAGATGATGCGGGCGGAGAGGCCTTTAGTCAGCCCCCAGGGACCCTCCTCTGCAATCAGCTGCTTGAAGGTGAGGATGATGGAGCTCTTGCCTTCCACCTGCAATGCCAGAACAGACATTCACAGAGCTGCCAGACCCCACGCTGGGGCTCTGCTGCAGCTGAAGACTCTGGAGGCTACAGAGGTGCCAAATCCACAGGGAAAGCCCATGGGAGCAGGCCAGGCCGGCCCCGCCAGCCCCACTCCCTGGGATCTCCTGCTACCACCGAGAGCTAATTAAGTGGGTGATACCCAGGATGAAAGGCCCAGGGAGAGCAGGGGAGCAGCTCACCTGAAACCACAGGGATCAGAGAGCCGAGGCTGAGCCCCACCCCACAGACACGCCAGGCAGGCTGAGCTCTCACCTGGACCCGAGCCCTGACCACGTCCATGGGGTTGGTGAGTGTGGAAGCTGTTGCGGCTGCAAGTGGCCCCGATATCGCCTGCAGGAGGAGGTGGGGACAGTCTTTAGGAGTCAAGCTCGAAAGCTGCTCTGGGAACAGGAGAGAGAGGAAAGTTTCAGACTTTCAGTGGCTGCTTATCAGTTCCTTAACTCCACCCCTTAATTCCAACTGGTTTGCAGTGGGCAGAATCCCTGATTTACAGCCTGACACCTCCTCCCACAGAATCTCCAAGTGGTGCTTCCTGCAGCAATCAGAAAGCCAGCACAGTGCAGGGAGCAGGACTCATCACCTGGGTAGCCATGGGACACTCCCAGTGCTCCATCCCATCAGCTCCCACACCGGCTCCCAGGCCCATGGGGCAAACCAGACAGCATGAACTTCCATGTTCCCAAAGCAGGGTATGGAAACAACCCATCCCCTTTAGAAGGTGGGGGAAGCCTTTAGACAAGGTTCTATTGGAAGGTGTCTGCAAAGACTGACACAGGAAGCTATCACCACCAGGCACGCTGTCCAGGAGATATCCCAGTGTTCCACTGTGAAACCCGAAGGAGAAAAGCGCCATGTAGTGCTCATTCCAGACATCCTCACCCTGCTCCTGCTGCTGGGCCAATGGGATTTGAATCTCCCAGCCTGAAGTTGTAGAGAAGACAGTTCAAAAGCCCCATTGTTTTTGGATGATGTGGAAGGAGGGAAGGAAGTGGCTCTTTGACCTGGAACGACGACTGCAATGGGGACCAGCAGTGCACTTTGAGCCCAGGAGGGTTCAGTGACCCTCGGTGCTGCTCCATCAAGGGACACAGGATTGGGAAATGTAGCCAAAGCAGAGGCTCACTGACAGCTGGGACTTTCATTTCCCAACACCCTGATGTCCACTGAGAAGACCAGGGAAGAGCAAACACCTGCCAGCAGAAGCTCCAGTCTCTCCGTATCAACTGCCCTCCTTCGAGCTCTTTTGGCACAATGATCTTACAATGAATACAGTGGATTTTGGTCTTATAAACAGTTGATGTGGAGAGTGAAGGGAGTGCTCCCCACAAAGTTCAGACGGGACCAACATCCCAAGCTGCCACTGCCTTTTAAATGCAGCAGGGATGAGGAACCAATGCTCCCTGGAGCCACCAGAACTCTGGAAAGCAAACGGGATGTTTCAGACACCTGGATTTTGAAGAACAGGTGATCTCCAAGATAAACTTTAGGCCCAGTACAGCAGAACCTAACCTACTCATTACCTGCACTTTTGGGCAGAAATTAGGTAAACACAAGCCTAAAAACCACAGCAGCAAAGCTGCACTGCAGAAATTTAAAGGATCATCAGTGGCCTTAGCTGGCAATACCTTTAGTCTTTGGGAACACCCTAAGGAGTACCATTGCTGAGCCACAGGAAGAGAACATTCCACTAAGTGCAGCTTTTCATCACAAGACTTGGTGCTGGTTTTAAAGCTACAAAAACTGAAGCAAGACCTGACAGACGCAAACCCAGAGAAGACTTATCCGTTGTCTCTGCCCTTTGTTTGCCTTTGCCATGAGATTTGGGGCTCTGAAAGGCCTTTTGCCATTTGGGATCCTTGATTCCACGTGAACTGAAAGATGGATTATCCTTACACAGTTGCTCCAAAACTCTGCCCAACAACAAACGAGGGCCTTCCTCCTTTGCAGAGAGCATTATTTGGGATTGGGGGGCAGAGAAAGTTAAAGCAGACACATCAAGCCCCTCTTGCCTAGAGCTATCAAGTTTCAAGTTGTCTGGCATTCACCCCCCTCATCTTTTATCTCTGCATTGAAACGCTGCTGCTCTCTTACACTTCCACCCAACACCTGGAGAATTTCTACACACCAGATACATGTTTCATGACAGGTTCTGCTCCCACCCCAAGAGACAGAAAGCAAATTATGCTGAGTCCAGAGCGTTAGAGTTGATCTGAGGGGCTTTAGGGGTCTCCTGGGATAACATCCATCACAAGCCTCCTTTCACTTACCAGCATAGAAGTGGTAGAAGGGCCACCAGACCGCACTGTTGGGAATATAAGTGAGCAGCGAGGCCACGTAGCCTCTGTAGAATCCTCTAAAACCATCGGCCTTGAAAATCTGTACAATGATGTCCTTGGTTTGACCAAAGACCAGGAGCCGCTTGCCGTCGTGGTTCTGCACCTTGAACCTGCCCATGCTTTCCCCTTTCCTCTGCATCATGAGGTGCTGGGAGACGACGTCGATGGGCACCGTAATGCTCTGGGCCACCAGGGAGGCCGAGCCGCCGGCCACCAGCGACTTGACGGCGTTGTTGTTGTTGTAGCGCGACACGTACTTGCGGGTGAGCTCGTAGGTCGTGACGTAGCACTGCCCCGAGATCAGCGTGAAGGTGTTCACCAGGAAGCCCCGGTACAGCCCGGCCGTCCCTTCTGTCCGCAGGATTTTCACGAAGGCGTCGAAAGTCCCGTTGTAGAGGCTCTTGCCCTTCTGGACCTGCAGCCGCGTCCGGATGAGCGTGAAGGGGTAGACGCTCACCCGGATCATCATGGTCATGCAGATCCCGAACACGTAGAACTTCCTCTTGTCCAGGTGCTCCCACTCGATGATGGGGATGTTGCGTTTGTCCTCCATGGCTCCTCGGGGTGCGGGAGGAGAGGCCCAGACCGCCCTCAAAGGTACAGAGCAGATCCAGGCCCAGCCCTCCAGCCTTGACTGACCAGACGGGAAGTGCCGGCACCTGAAATGAGAGACACCTTGGGTAGAGGACGAAGCCCCCATTTGCCATAGCTCCCCTCAGACTATGCTGGCTGTCCTCAAGCACACAATGAGCCCTCACACAGCACTGTGCTGGCAGAGCAGAGGGACTGTAACCCCAGGAGGCAGGACCCTCCCACATGGCTGGTGCTGGCACCTTCTGATGTGGCTCCAGCAGCTCCCACCACACCGCTCCGTGGCAAAGCAAAGCTCCCCAGGCTTTGGGAAGCAGGTTGAGAGCCAGAGGATGAGCACCACTCCACGAGCAGCACACCCACCTCTCAGTGCACACACAGGATCACGGATTGCCAACCAAAGCAGCTTCTCCCCAGTCATTCCGGGTCTGTGATGTTCCCAGGTGCCAGGACGTCACTTCAGTTCCAGGCTCTGTACAAAGAAGGAAGTGACAAGTTTCTGTTTGTGTTCCCAGATTCCCTGCACAAATTAGACACCTTTCTTTGGGCATTTCCATTCTGATCTTCCTAAAGCTGGAGGACGACGCAAGCCAGGGAAGGGGGATGAGAAAGTCGTGAAAAGATGAACAACAGGAAAACAAGGCCAATGCCAAGAGCCACGTAGAGTCTCCATGTTGATGACCAATACCCTGGAAAGAAAGGGTTAAATTACAGCCCAGGATCTCTCTGTTGAGCTGCTTGTCAGCTACAGAGCAAAGTTCATCCTCCCTTCCAACACGGCTCCCTGTCTGATAACCCCCCCAGGCTGCTCCCCTTCCACCACTGGCCATGCTGGGAGCACCAGGGGCAGGGGGAGGGAGATGCTGGCTCAGCCTCCTCCAGCGACCCCTTCCCCTCAGGAAGCCCCTAATTCTCAAGGAACCTCCACACAGGGCTGGGCAGCAAGAGAAGGGCAGCTCAGTGAGTCACACAACACAACACTGATGATTTCACTGCCTACAAGGGCTCCAAGAGAGGTGGAAAGGGACTTTGGACAAGCTCTTGGGCGACAGGACCAAGAGGAACAGCTCCCCACTGCCAGAGGGCAGGGTTGGATGGGATATGGGAGAGAAATTCTTCCCTGTGAGGGTGGGGAGGCCCTGGCCCAGGTTGCCCAGAGAAGCTGTGGCTGCCCCAGCCCTGGGAGTGTCCAAGGCCAGGCTGGACGGGGCTTGGAGCAACCTGGGCTGGTGAAAGGTGTCCCATGGGATGAGATGAGCTCCCTTTGGACTCAAACCAGCCTGTGATTCTGGGATAAATGTCTCCCCACTGCAGCCTCCATGGAGAGCTCACAGGGTCCAGAGCCACTCGGTTAGAAAGGCAGCAACAAAACAACTGGAAGTGATTTACCTCTGGCACGGAGAACAAACTACAGTTATGAAATTACGGGAGGGCAGGGGTGGAGGTGCCATTAACTGACCATTTCATTGCCTGTCTGCCAAGAAAATATTTGCTGAACAGCAGCAAACAGCATTACAGGCTGCCACGGACAGGGCAGTTAAAAATACCTAAGGGCACCGGGTCCAATGCTTTTACCAGAGCAAAGAGAACCTACCCTTCATCCTTACAAGCAACTGCCTTGGCAGATAAGGCACAACAAACACCATGGCCTGGCTAAACAAAGCCAGGATTGCTTTAATTACAATTACTGTGTTTGCTAAGAGTGCCGTGGTTAATTCACGGAGCTTCCTGCCCAGGAATTATCTGCAAACAGAACCTATGAAAACATGACTTGGTTCTTGTTAGGAGTCTCACTAACTTAATATTTTATTAAAAAGAAAAAAAAATAAAATAAAGTCTGGTCAGTGCAATTTCCTGGTGAAGCCTGAGGGTTTAGTCCATACTCATAAATTCCTCTGCCACCCAAGGACAGAAACGAGCTCCCCATGGGAAAGTGCCTGCAAAAAACATCCTCATTGCTGCAATAAGGAAAACAAAATAATAATAATAATAATAATAATAACGAAGTATTGTTGATTTTTATGTTGTTTCATGTGCTCTGGTGCTTTGGGTTTGGAATTTCAGCCATAACCCCTTGAGGAAATAGCTGCACTTTCTCTGGACTCATTACAAATAACTCCTCTCACTGGGGATCTGAATCAGAAAGATCAAGTCCCAGGGCCCAGGGGCACTAAAGGCCCCTCCTGTGTGGAAGAGGGAAGGCATCCTGGCATGCCCAGGGATGACCAGCACAGCCACAATTCTTGTTCTGCCAACACAAGAGTTTGTCCCAGAGCGTTTAATCCTTGCAGAAATTCAGACCAGGGCCTTGCTCAGGGCAGGGATCCAGGGATCCCGTCACATCCATTCAGCAACTCTTAGATGATATTTCAAGTAAATTCTCCCAAGAGAATGCTCTCCAAACCAAAGCACGGGTGCACCAGGTTCCCTCCCAGCTCCCATAGCCAGTTCTGCACTTCACGTCTGCAACAGCCCAGACTACCCCTCACTGGTGCCTTCCCTTCCCACCCTGCACAGAACACCAATTCTTGAGCGTCTGCCTGGAAATCCCAGCAGGGGAAACCCAGCAGCCTGTCCCTGCCCTCTGGCCAGTCTGGGCACAGCCTCAGCCTCCTGACCACAGAACTCAATTTAGCTCCAGTTTAGGTCCTTTTTAATGTCTCCCTGTCAGTCCAGTCCCCAGAACCGCCCTGGCTGCAGCTGGAGCTAAAGATGATTCCCTGGCAAACACAGACAGGGCCTTTGTGTCCCCCGGCCAGGGCTGCGTCCTGCCCAGCATGTTAATGCCTCAGCACCCCCTGGGAACCACCGGGAGCGAGCCCCGGCTGCTCACCGGGGTTGCCTGTGGAGATGCTCCCGAGCGGGAAAGCACGAGATCCACAATCCCGCTGCGAGGCTCCAGCCCGGAGCCCTTTCCCTGTGCCACCAAAGCAGCCTCGGCTGGCAGCTCCCCTGGCAAAGGCCCGGAGTGTTCACTCCTTAAATTCACCCCAGGGTGGGAGCGGAGACAAAGGCGAGGAGGGGGCGGCGTTCTGGATACAAACCCGTGGGGAAAACTGGATATAAAGCTGGGGGGAGGGGAAACTGTGGATACAAACCTGAGGGGAAACTGCGAATATAACCCCGGGGAGGTGTGTGTGTGTGGGGGAACTGTGGATGTAAACCCGGGGGGGAATTTTGGATATAACCCCCGGGGGGGGAGGGGGGTGTTATTCTGGATACAAACCCGGGGGGAAGAAAGGATCCAGCCTCGCCGAGGACCCGCGGCCCCCCGGAGCAGCTGTCGCTCAGTGACCGCTGGGGCACAGACACTTCACCCCCCCCAGCACCCCCAGCCCCGCGCTCAGGAGCCCCCCCCAACCCTCCCACCCCCCGGGCGGAGTCCCCAGCGCCGGTCCCCGGTCTACAGGGGCAGAGCTGGGCCCAGGGACCCGCTCAAGGTCACTGCGCGGGCCACACGCGTCCCCAGCCCCGTGTCCCGGGGGTGTCCCCGCCTGCTCCTGGGGCGGCTCCGCTCCCGCAGCCCCGGGGGGGGGTCAAGCCCCTGCCCCGGGGGGTTCCAGCCCCTGCCCCGGGGCTCCTCTAAAGCCGAGGGGATCCTACACTACC